AGGGGAAATAAAAGAACTCAAAGAAAACAAGCAGTGGATGGGGGAGGGGATGAATCACCAGGAGGAAACTCTGAGGAGTGGGAACCACGCTCAGCAGCTTCCCCTGTCTCCAGGGCAGCGGCTGTTCTGGGAGGTGAGCAGACCCACAAACACCTGGCTGTGGCCCTGAACACTCCTTGTTATTACCATGCTGCTCCCAAATAGAGATTTCCACCCTGAGTCTTGGAGTCTCAGGGAAGAGGCCATGTTGTCGCACAAATTAGACCTCAGGAAATATTCATGGGGACAGGAGCGAGACCCCAAGCTGTCTTCCTTAGAGAGCACTCAGTTCGGGGAAAGTCCCTGTCCCCGTTGCTTTGAGTCAGCAGCACAGAGCAAGGGAGGGGTGAGTGAGCCCCTGGTAGGCCCCGAAGTTATCAATACACATTTTCATTGTGACGGGACGGATGGAAGCACTTCCATCCTAGTCCTCCGCCCCCCCCCCCCCAGGCAGGGGGTCTCAGCTAGGAATGAGAAGGGAGGAAATGAGAAGTGTGCAGGAGGGTTGCAAGGAAGGAGCAAGCCCCGGGCGGACTGGCGGATGGAGCAAGGCTCATGGTGCACTCCTATAATCCCAGCACTTGGGAGGCAGAGGCAGGCAGGTGCGACGTTCAAGGTCATCCGCAGCTGTATGGGGAGTTCAAGGCCAGCCTGAGCTATATGAGTTCTGGTCACAAACAAGCAAACAAACGAACACAAAAAAACCAAATAGGTCTATGAGATGGCTCAGTGGATAAAAGATCTAGCCACCAAACTCTGATGACACGAGTTTGATCCCCAGAACTCAAGGGGAAGGGGTCAACTGCCAAAAGTCCTGCCACATGCACTCTATGGCACCTATACACACACACACACACACACACACACACACACACACACACTGGGGACTTTGAGCTCTTTATGGTCCATTGTTCTGCATTATCATGGCTCGATTCAAGGAAGATGACAGATGTGTGACCTCCCACTTTTAGATCCCCTGACTACTCCTCATCCACACTGACCAGCTCCTAACAGTAAGATGACTGGCAGTGGCTCTGCTTGGCTCTGAGACACTGTCCAGTTCCTTTACTGCCTCCCTTGTGTTTCTACCTTATAACCTGTGGCCAGTGGTCTCTGGGCATCTTACTCTATGGTAAACCTGATGCTCCTCCTTCTGGATATTAGACCCCTCCTTGACCCTTAATCCATCACTTATTTCCTGGGTTCATTTTATTCCTTCTTTCTCTGGCTTTGCTCTTTGGTGTGTCATGGTTCTAAGCCCTGTCTTCTACTCTGATTCTCCCAAGTTGGTGGTAACTGGCACTCAACAGGGTCAGAAAGCTTGTGTGTGTGTGTGTGTGTGTGTGTGTGTGTGTGTGTGTGTGTGTGTGTGTGTGTGTGTGTGTAATGCAGAGCTGCCCAAGTATCTCCCCCAGCCACGGTTGGAGAATTCTGCCCCCTGCTTGGGCATGAAGTACACAGAAAGGTGACATCCCAGGGTGATCTTGCAACTTGGTGCTGCCTCTGTGAGGTCCAGTCTGCAGCTTTTGCTGCTGAGGGGAAGAAGCCAGAAAAGAACCTGTAGCTCCTACTCCCATCATCAGGATTTTGGCTCTTCTTCTAGTCCTCCTGCCCCACCAAGTCTCCAGTCCCTGAACTGTAGTCCCATCCCATGCAGGCAAGCAGTGACACCAACCTGACCTGCTTTCCTTGTGTATTATGGGGGGGGGGGTAAATTCTTTTTCATTCTTGGGGGTGTCTCATTTGGAGACAAGAGGTCTCTCTCTTTGGTCCTGGGCTGTTAGAACTGGGAAACTTTTGGAGCTGGTGAGATGGCTTAGTGGTTAAGAGCATTGACTGCTCTTCCAGAGGACCTGGGTTCAAGTCCCAGGACCCACGTGGCAGCTCACAACTGCCTGTCACTCTAGTTCCAGGGAATCTGGCACTCTCATACAGACATATATGCAGGGAAAACACACATGCACATAAAATAATCTTTCTAGTGGGTGGTGGTGGCGCAAGCCTTTAATTCCAGAATTTAGGAGGCAAAGGCAGGTGGATCTCTGTAAGTTCTAGACCAGCCTGCTCTACAAGAGCTAGTTCTAGGATAACCTCCAGCCACAGAGAAACCCTGTCTTGAACCCCCCCCCTAAAAAAAAAGAACTGGGAGACTTTCTATGTTCGATTTCGACTTTGCTGTGAAAATCACCTCTTTTGTTTTGTGACCAGAGCCCAGAGCCCAGTGGCTTGCCTCAGGTGACCTGCTGCTGGATCTGCTCACTAGACTTTTAGTCCATGGGTCTTTCCAGGACCCAGAATGGCCTTCTTTCTGTGGCTTGTGGAAGGACCCCAGGCTGGAGCTGGGGCAGCCTCAGGCCTCAGGTTACAGGCCTGGGAGTCATAGACTTCCCTTTTCCTCATTTACCCTGGACTCTGAGAGGTCCTCTGGCTTCCCTTACATGAACATGGAGGGTGGTCTCATTTGTCCTCATTGCTCAGCTGGGAAACAAATGGGCCTCAGACATCTGCCCAGCACCTGTCAGCCCATGGTTCCAAACAGGGAAGGGAGTGAGGCCAAGGGCTCTCTGCTCCCATCTCTACTTGCCTCAGATGGGCAAGTGCACATATAAACACATGTGCAAACACACACAGAGCCCTCCCTGGCTGGATTGTACTTAGCCATTAAGTCCCGGTGTGCGTATGTTGGGAGGGTGAGGTCAGGTGGATTGGAGGTTCTGAGGCCTAAATGGTGCTGTCTGCCCCCCACTGCTTGCTGACCTCAGTTTACTGTGACTCCTGCTTCTGGGCACAGCAGCGTCTGTGTTTGGAGGCACAAAGAGAAACTCTTCACGAAGAGCTAGGAAAGTAAGCTGAGTCCTGATGACTACCAACCTGCACCGGCTCCCAGGCCCCAATTGTGAGCTCTTGGTTGATGCTCTCCCCTCCCTTGGTCTTGGTCTCTTTTGTGAATCAAGGGGCATGCTCAGTCTTCCCAGAACTTAGGGCAGGAACTCCTCAACAATCCATTTACCACTGCTGCCAAGGAGGCTGCCTGGGGAGAGAAACTCCCTGGGGACTCTACCCATCTCCCAGCAGATCTTGATCTTGACTGAGACACACCCTGCCAAGGAGGCACTGTTTCCAAGATACCCCTCCTATTCAGTAGGCTTCCCCCACGACCAGGTGGCCCCATTCACTTACTTCTCATGACTGAGCCTGGGCTTGCCGGTCTTGGCTCCCCGTTCTCAGTAGGGTAGCCCAGGACAGCACACAGCTGGCAGTGGAAGTGGGGTGAAGCTCTCTCAGCAGTGCCTCAGCCCGCAGATCTGCACAAAGCTCTCCCCTGCCGTTTCTGGGCAGGGGGGTTTAAGCTGTGCACCACACAGGTGGCCAAGTGACAGCCCCCCAAGCCCCCAGAGGTGCACTGGGTATGATGACAGGCACCCCACGTGGCCAATCTGGGTCTGGGGCAGGGTGTGAGGGGCGGGGCAGCCAATCACAGGGGGCGTTGGAAAATTCCAAAACCACAGCCACAGCCCGCGGTAAAAGCTGTTTCCACTCGCCAGGGCATTTCTAGCTGGGGAGCTTCGTGGAGCTCAAGGGCAGAGGCCAGACTCGAAGTCCCCTCTTCCTGAGTACCCCAGGCCCTCCTCATCAGGTGACACCAGGGGTAGGGATGTCCCAGAGGTAAGTCACAGGATATCTGTCTTGGGTGGTGTCCAGTGGCACTGCAACCCTGTGGACTGTCAACAGCCATACCCAGTGTGGCATAATCAGGAGACTGCTGACCCTCACCACACCCACACTCTCCTCCTCCACACATGATGCTATCCTGGGCTGAGGAAATGACAGTGGCAGTATCATTAGGCAAAAACCCAAGCCTCCGTAGGATGGGTTGGTCCTTCAGAAAGGCCTTTAGGAACAAGACTGCTAGACTAGAACACGAATAATGAGCAGCACCAACTTCGTCCTCTTAACAATAGTGCTTAACTCAGTGCCAGGAATGACTCAGTTCTGGGTGGATTATGTAACCCTGACAACATGCTTTAAGTGATAGCTACCATTTCAAAGACGAGTAAGGGGAAATATAGAGTGGTTGAGTAACCTGCTCAAGGTCACACAGGTCAAGAAAGGTAGATCGGTCAGGTAAGTGACCTCAGATCCACTTGAGGGACATGGAGGTGTTTTTGGTTTAAGTGTGGTTTGAGTGTGTCTCAGGCTGGCCAGTCTCCTGGCACTTGAGTTTCTCTGTAGGTTTTGTTGGGGTAAGGTTTCTTACTGATGGGTCCCTTCATTTTCCAGTGTGCTGTGTGGGGTACCCCAACCTCAGCCTTGGAGGTCCCTCTTCTGGCCCCTTAGTCAGTAGACTTTGTCTGGGTGTGCCCCCTAATTTTCCTATCATGGACCTCTTTCTTGAGATTATTTCACTTGGGGAGCAGTTTTTATTTTCGCGGCCTGGGGGTGGTGAGTGGATCTCTACACCCGGGCCAACCCCCTTGAGAGGTCTTCAATCTTGCTGGAACCCTTAGCTCTTCAACCAGGAAAGCTCTCTCTGCTGGCTTGGGAGTTGTGCATTGGATTGGTGAGGGTGGCCAGCCTGGATTCTCGTGAGGACATTCATCGTGGGGACTGAAAGGACAGGGCGGGGCTGGAAGCTGGGCTTGGTCTTTCCCAATTCCCACCGCTCCAAAAGTCCCCCTTTCCCTGACAGTGTGGTCCCTGGTCCCCTCCCCCAGCTTGCCTTCATCATTCTGACTTGATTTCCTCCCAGGGCCTGCTCAGCATTTCCGCAGGGCCCTGTGGCTAGTGGTACATGAAGCTGATCAGGGTTGTGCGGAACCACGCAGCCTGACGCCCCAGGAGGATGGAAAGCCCCAAGCTCAGGGAGGAAGGATGCTGGAGCACAAGGCTGCAGATGGCCTTGGTGGTGGGAGGGAGGAATTGGTGGACACAGGGTATGTTATGGAGGTGTAGAGGGTTACCTCCTCTGAGGAAATGATCATCATCAACTTAATGACCTTGCTTGTATAAGTATTTTCCAGAGTGCTCCCAGGCTGCTGGGCAGGACACACATTGGGGAATAGCCCGTCTCTCTATGACTGGATTGGGGGGTGCTGCAGTGGTCCTGGAGAAGACGCTTATTCAAAAGTGTCCTTTGGGGAAGTCCTTCTGGAACTCTAGGCTCTTCCTCACACATGTTAGCCTCAGGATTTCAGGACCCCAAGAAACAGTGTCCTCGTCCATTCTTTCTTACAGACAGCAGGCTTCCTGCTCTCTAGTTCTGCAGAGCCTCGATCCAGACTTGCTCACACCTCAGAATGTGTTAACCACAGAGATGAACACACCAAACCTGGCTCTGCCACCACAAAGCCTTGGGCACACTCCTGGGCCTCCCATTGTGGCTGCGGAGCTCTGAGGCTGGGGTGGCCTTAAACCTCCTCCCTGGCCTGGTCGGGCAGCCTGAGCCTCTGTCCAGCACTCCGCCCTTCTCTTTCCACAGTTCCCCTTCTCTTTCCACTGCTTGTTACTTGACACTCTTCGGGTTTCTTTTTTTGTCCCTCGCTGCCGGCCGGCCTGTAGGTCTTTTCCTTTGGCTCCCGTCTCTTGGGCCTTACACTCTTGGCCTTTCTCTTTCACTTCTGACCAGCCCTGGGCCTTTCTTTACCCATGCCTCCTGAGCTGAACCGATTCACTGTACCCAGTACCACCTTCTTGGCCCAAACCCCTACTCACAGGTATGAGTCTTCTTGGCAGCCAGCAGCTCTAAAGAGAAGAGAAGGAAGGGGTCAGTCAATAGTTGATGACCTGGGGAGTGGACCCCAGACTCCACCAGTTACTGGCTCCCATCCTACCCCATTTTTTCCCTAGCACTGCCTGGCCTCTGAAGAGAAGCTAGGCCCCCTCGGCAGTGCCCACCTCTTTGCCCTTTGGCCACACTGGCTTTCTTCCAGGTCCCGAAAGCGCCCAGCTCCTCTCTGCCTCCAGGACTTCCCCATGCCTCCCACCTGGCTAGGTCTCAGATCTCTGTCTTCCTCTGGAACAGCCGCCCATGCCCTCTCCCCTGCCCTGGGGTTGATTCATTCAGCACCGTGTCCTGTTTCCTGGCACTTGACGTAACAGCCAGCTGCCCTAGGTGTGCCATAGCCCCTTCTAGATTATAAGTCGGTCTTGAGGCAGAGCCACCGTAGGCCTTGTTCAGCTTGCTGTTCTGGGGACACGCAGACCCCTCTTGTATCTAGTACATTTGAAGTACACAAATATTCTGCATCCAGAGTTGCATTCCTGTGGGAATGCAATCTTTTGGTTGCTTATCTGGGCCAGGAAGCCTGAGGGGGTTGCAGAGGTGTGGGGCTGGAAGAGGAGGACAAGGAGAGAACTGTATGCAGACCCTCTCTGGTCACCGCTGTGGGCTTCAGCTGTCTACAAGGCTGTAGAGGAAAGAGCTCTTTTCCTTGCTGCTCTGCTTTGTGGCTGGGTCTGGGTGGAGAACAGACAGGGGGAGGCACAGGGTGGTTCAGAGAGGTTTGTAGAAATGCTCAACTGTGCAAGGGAGCAGCTGCCGAGGGGGTAGCCTTGACTACTTCGTCATTACAGGGTTGTTCATGTATGCAGGCATTACTTGGGAAACACCTAGGGAGGGAACTCTTGACAAAAGAGGCTTTCTTGACAGACCTCCATCCCCGTTCCGATATCCACACACTGCCCAGGGCCAGTCTTTTGTCACAGAAAGCCTATTAGCCCTGCCTGTAATGTCCTTAACCTTTGACTCAGTTCTGTTACTCTTTGCCTTCTGAGGACCAAGACTGACACACAAACTCTGTCCCTCCTTCTCTGTCCCTCTGCCAGGAGATGTACCCTGCAGCCAGGCTTCCTACATTTATTTCATTGCCACGGTGGTCAACAGGGCCTAGTGGTCTGGCTCCCCGGGGTTGGGGAGGGGAAGTTCTGCCCAGAGAGGGTGTGGCTTCATGCCATGCCCACCTCCCTGCTAATCCTGTCTGGCCCTACTCAGTTTCCTCCCTGACGTGGCATCCCTGTCAAGCCTCCAACTTGGCATTTCTGAGCAGTCCTGCACGGGGGCACTCCCCTTGTTGGCCCCAGGGACCTTCCTCTAGGTGGTCCTGGAAGCTGGTAGTTCTGTCACTTCCTCCCCCTAAGGTTCCCAGCTAACAAGCATGGTGGGGGTGTCCTGTTCTGAGGGGCTCCCTCCCCATACCATTGGTGGAGTTAAGGACTATTCACTCCATTCCTGCCTGTGCTCCGCAGGTGCCTCCCGCTCTGCAGAGATAAATCTCCTGGAACGGATTGGAGACTGCTGGGCTGGAGCAGTTGGAAGGATACAGCTCCCCCTCCCTCCGTTGTAGCCTACAGGGTACTCCACTGTGAATGAACGGGAAGGTGGAGAGGGCTGCCCTTCAAGTCACTACTGCCGGGGGTCCTGTGGCAGGGAGGGGCCTGCTCACACCTGCCACATTCCCATCCCTCCTCTGGATCTAGCCTCCCGAACACAGCTCCTCCCTCCTGCCCCCACTCCAGCCTGGCTCTTCCTTCTGGCTAGTCTCCTCCAGCTGTAACGTCAACCCTTCTTCCTGTTTCCCCTACTCGTCCTATCCCACCGTCTCTGCTCTCCTCCGCCAAGCCCTCTCTCCTCCCCAGTTCTCTCCTAGTATCTTCCCAGCCTTCCCCTCCTCTGAGCCTCCCGGCAGCCCCTTCTACCTGCCTGCAGGGCTCTAGAGCCTCTTACCCCGAGATGGTCGGTGGTGTCTCTGTGGGGCCCTGTCCATGGGGTAGCTCCCTTGGTGCCGTCCTTGCTGCCCTGGCTGCCCAGGAGGGCAGGGAGCAGGGCCCAGGGGAGGGAGGAGGGAAGAGGGAGGGAGCACCTGGCCTGTCAGCAGGCAGGGGAAAGGAGTGGCTGGCAGAGTGTCCTGGCGCTAGGAGGGGACTCAGGGAGAGACCAGTGACCAGTGTCTGGAGTCTTGAGGAGAAACAGCTAGGTGAAAGGGAGCTAGCATTTATCGATTATCTACTGTGTGCTGAGTTCTTCGCCACGCTTTATAGGTAAATCGGGATTGTGGTTTTTGGAGACCCACATGATAGCCTCTACAGGCAAGTGCGATTATTCATAATCATGAATCCATTGTTGCTCAGAATAGAGAAGACTTGCCAAGGACTTCACATGGGTAATTTGTGATTGAGTTGAGATTTGAACCCAGGTCTTTGTGACTTTTGACCAGACTAGGACAGGTAACAGAATAGCAAGAAGGAGAAGAGAGAAAGAGTGAGAAGAGACAGCATGGGGTGGGGGTGAGGGGTGAGGTGGGGGGTGGGGTCTCTGAACTCCAGGTGGGGTCACATACACTTTTCTGCACGTTGGGTTCCTGGAGCACATGCCTGCTTTGCCTCTAGTTAACCCCATGCTGCCCTCCTCTGGATTTCCCTGGCTTGTAGGTGCTTCCCACACTCCTGGAGGGGCGGAGGGAGGGGGAATGTGTGAGGGAGGAGCGAAGTGGAGAGTCAGGGTAAGAGAAAGGAGGGGACAGCCTAAGATAAGAACATCACTGGGCCATAAGTTGGGAGGACGGGAGTCCCCACCCCCTTTTCCAAACTAAATCTGTTCATATGAAGGCCTGCCCTGGACACTGAGGAGGGCCAAGAGCCAAGGCTTCTGTGGATATTGGATGTCACAGTTCGGTGTGGCCTCCGCCCAGAGTTTGATTAGCTGGGCCTGGCTTTCCTGCTTACCCAACAGCCACTGGCTAGGGGCCAGGCTGCAATCAGGAGGCTCCCAGCCCCTCCTCCAGCTCTCCCCAGCTGGTAAACAGCAGAGCAGGAGCCAGCCACACCAGGGCCTCGTGACATGGCTCCCACTCCCTCTCCCTCCACCCTGTGCACGTGGCACCTGGCGTGGAAAGGGCGGCAGCTGTCCTTTCTCTCCTAACACTCCATTCTCCACTCTTGCCTGGCCTTAGGGCTTCCCCTCTGCTACCATCAGCACCTATGTCTCTGGGGAGTTGAGTTTCCTAAGCCTCCTCGGGAACAGAGATTAGGAGAAATAGCCTTTCTGACTCCTAGGGTGATTGATAAGGGCTTGGGGTATGAAAAGACTTTGGAGGGCCTTTGAGGCCCTGGCTAGTCCCATGTCCTTTGTGTGTGTACATGTTTGTAAACAGACATTTCCTGTCCCAACTGCCTGGTCCCAAATAACCAACTGAGAGGCTGAATATGAATACTTAACCGATAGCTCAGACTTATTACTAGCTAACTCTTGCATATTCCTTAATTACCCTCTGTCATGTGGTGGTACATTTATTAACATGGCACATTCATCTCCTGCTCCCTCTGCCAGACTGCAAGCCTCAGACTCTGAGTTTGGCTTTCCTGACTAACTTTATCCTATTCAGCTGTTGGCCACTCAGTTTGTTTATTAAACCAATTGTAGTGACATATATTCACACAGTGCACAGAAGTATTATTCCACAGTACATGTTCATGTGTACACGTATGTGGATATGTGTACAACTGTACAACTGTGAGTGTGCCTGCCTGTGGAGGCTAGAGGTTGACACCTGGTGTCTTCCTCAGTCACTACCTTATTTTTTTTGAGGCAGGATCTCTTGCAGAACCTGGAACTTACCATTTTGGCTAGACTGACTGGCCAATGAACCCTAGGGAGCTGTCTCCACCACCTCATTGTTGAGACTGCAAGTGCCTACCTACCTACCCACTGTACCCCTGCTTTATTATGTGGGTTCTGGGGATTGAACTTGGGCCTTGGCACACTTGCGGCGGCACCTCACTGACTAGATCATCTCCTCAGACTCCATGGTATTTGGTGAACATGGGCCCAGTGGACTTCTCTGCTCAGAACATGAAGTCAGTCTGGAGAGCTTTGAGTGAGAGGCGAAGTTCTGGAGGTGGCGCCCCACCTAGGACCAGAACCAGAAAGAGGCAGGACGACAGGCAGGGGTGTTCAGGGGATGAGGACCTTTCCTGCCCACCCCGACCCCAGAATTATCTCCGCCTGCTCTTTCTGTGCTCCTGCAGGATTCCCCTTCCCTGTCCATCAGTCTTCAGTTTCCTGTGCCTTACCAGCCTGCCTCCCACCTCCCCTAGTTTTTGTTCCTGTTTCTTATTTTTAATTCAATTTTTATGTATATGGGTGTTTTACCTACATGTTTTTTGTGATATACTTTATTAATTTTGGGGACTGGTGTTCCATTTTGTGAGGAGGGCTAAAGGAGATAGGTACACTTTGGGGATCTTCTCCTTCTGCTTTTTTTTTTTTTTAAATATCCTGTTATTCCATGACGAGTCCAGCTTCCTCCCCTCACCAGCCCCTGGCCCTGCTACTTATTTGCAGGGCCTCAGCAAACACAGAACATATTTGCCTGCATGTTTGTATGTGCCCCATTTACATATCTGGTACGCCACGGGGGACAGACGATGGACTGGAGTCATAGATGGTTGTGAGCCACTATGTGGGCACTGGGTTCTTCTAGAAGAACAACCAGTGCCCTTAACTGCTAAGCCATCTCCCCCGCCCTCTCTCCTCTCTCTCTCTCTTGAAGTGGGCTTTTCTAGGGTGGCCTCCAACTCACAACCCTGACTCAGCCTTGGGTGTGCAGGGGTTACAGGCCTGCATCTCTGGCCACATCCTTTCCTCTTTTGACATCGCTTGGTGATTCGAGGCCTTCAAATGACCCCTCCCTCAAGTCGGAGGC